ACACACACACACACACACACACGGAATTTGTTTATTGAGAATTAAAGTTAACACTTCTAAATTAAGTATTCACTCATGAATTTTCTTTGTCACTGTCCTGTCAATGGACATAAGAGAAAATATAGCACAGAACTAAAACAAGGAAATGATAATTAACAAAATATCTTGTGGGCCAGCTTGTCAACAGCCTTGCCACCCTGAGTAAGATATTGTTTTGAAGCCCATGGGAAACTATTTAATCTCCTATGCCTCTTCTTTGCTTTCACTAAAATGCATGTTCTCCCATCCACCACTGGGTATGACACAGAAGCTTCAGGTCAAGAACCTCTCCACGGATCCCACTGAAACACCTTTCCCCCATTCCATGTGCCTTGCCAGCATTGGGATTTCGTTTTTCATGATTTCCTGTTTTTTCCTTGTCAATCAGAATGTACCATGAAAACAACCCAACTCACATTCACTTCAGGGACATGGTGGAATTGAAAAACCGAAAATAAATTTGACCTTCTAATTGCCACTTGACAATAATAATAATAAAACCTGCAAAAGACAAATTGGTGCAATTGGCTGGGAGGCCTTGAAGATTTCCGTCATCTCATTCCCTTTTCTTTGTCTTTATACTCAAAGGGTGATTCATTTATGAGAAACGCTGTTGGAAGAAAGGGAGACCTTTTCCCTGTGGAATTATTTTGTATCAAGATTTAAACAAGTTAAAGAATGATAAAATTATGTATGTGATCTTTGGTGTGTGAGTTATTAAACTTGTAATGCTTATGTGTACAAGTAGTTATTATAGAAATAACCTTTTTTGAAAATATAACAAAACATTATATGAGTATATAAAAATTAAGTAAGAAAGTGCTATTACATAGCCCTAATGTAATCAGTGTCAACAACCTATTAGTTGTTCAAGAACTTTAAAATCTTTAATGAGGCTCCAACAGTAGAATTTCAGTCATATGTAAATGAATCTTTGAAATGCCTCATTATCAGAACAACAATGGTTCTTTAGTGACTTCTCAGGTCCCCAAAGATAACAACACCTGGCTATGGTAAGCAAAACCAGATCAATTTTTCATATTTTCTTCATCAACTTTGCTTTACCAATGATTTGTGAGCCTATTCTGATTGTCATAGGGGAACTGGAGAGTTTACTGTCCACTGTCACTTTTGCTTTTCCTTTAAATGGAGTTGTTTCCCACAGTCGGTAATCTACTTGCCCCAGATATTTAAAAGTCAAATATTCTCATTTCTACACAGGTCTGATTACCACAACTTCAAGGAAATTGGATCGAGAGCAGCAGGCAGAGCATTTTCTGGAGGTAAGCGCACAGAGGAAATGGCTCTTGTTAAAATTTTTGCTAAACTCCCTGAGCCTTCATCACAAATGGGAACTTTTAATACATTGGAAAAATCGGTTGCAAAATGAAGTTGCCTCTCTTAGGCTGAGTGCTTCAGAATTTAGAGAGTTCTGATGCATTCCCATCCGTCTGCTCTTGTGAGCCAAGCAAGAGTGATAAAGAGGCCTTTACCCGCACTAAAGACAGGCAGCTGCATGGATATTTCTGCCTTAACTTCAGACCTCTTTGTCAATAATCAGAAAAGAAAGTTCCAGAGCAATGTCCCGTAGGCCCACTGCCCCATGAAAGGAGAAAGAGCAGCAGTGCTGCGGTTCAAGTGAAGTGTACTTCTTTCCCCTCATTTCTTTTTTCTGGGGAGATGGTTGAGAAAGAGAAGGCTGCTGGTTGATTCATGGCTCAAGGTGACTGTTTCTGAAACCATAAAATGTTCTCCTATAATTCATTAAGACAGGAACAGCAGCAATGGAAACTCTAAGAGCATTATTTCTGGTAGAGAAAAAAAACCACTTTAAGGCAAGGGATGAGAAAATAGACATGAAAGAGCGTTGTGGAACATTCCTCCTATACGTATTGAGTATCTTTATTGAAAAGGTTGAAGTCTGCATAGTTTGTATGGCACTTTGATCTGAGTGTGACTGTGTGATATGAAGGGATGACAAAACTCAGAACCTAGGGCTTTGATAAGGGTCTATGATGTGTCCATGCTTCTAAAATGATCTTTCTATTTCTCAGACCCACTTACCGGAACTCATCCACTATACTTATGTGTGTGCATGCACACACCCTCCTCAAATCTTATGACAGGATTTCTTCTAGCATCTTCCTTTAAGTCATATCAGCAGTAATGATCTAGTTAAAGAACACTGGAGCTGGGAGTCATGACACAGGCCTATAATACATGATGTGAGAGTCTGAGGCAGGAGGATAGCAAGTTTGAGTCCAGACTTGGCAATTTGGAGACCCTGTATTAAAATAAAATTCTTAAAGAGAAAAAAAAAAGCTGGGGTGGCAGCTTAGTAATAGACTACCCTTGGGTTCAATCCCCAGAATCCCAAGAAAAGAATACTGAACTAGGAGTCTGGGCCCATGGGTTTTTAAGCTGCCCTGACATGATTAACTCAAAGCTGTGGCCAGTGCTATTTAATTACCTGGATCTCAGTTTCCCCTATTGTGAAATGTGGCAAATAATTGCTAATCCATATACCTCAAAGGATCACTATTAGAATCAAACCTTATATTCTGTATCAAAGTATTTTTTGAAACTTACAAGGTATTAGATATAGAAAAGGGTGATTATTATCATGCAGCCCTATGATAATCCTTTTAAAACATTACTATCATCTCATAAAGATGGAAGATTCCAGGCTGCCAAAAATAATTATAATAATTGTTTTTTTTTTCAAAATCCTATTAATGGGTCACAGTACCTACCTGGTCCAGAATTACAGTACATTTGCTAGAGAAATAACACCTTATGTTTTATTAATGTGCTTCTTTCCTTTTCAGAAGAGAGTCCAGGACTCCTGGAGAGACAATGTTCTTAGATAGTTGAACCCATTACCTCCCAGCAGGAGGAAGGGAGGGCATCTCATTAGCTAGGGAATCTGCTGAGATCACTTGCCTTGTCCTCACTAGGTGGTGTCATGAGGGGTATGTGGTGCAGAGTGACCATTATAGGATAAAGCTACAAGGAAAAGAGGCAAGGATGTTTTCCAGGCATTGAATTTACTTCCCCTAAGAATCCTTAGTGCTTTCATGTCCTCTACACACTTACATAGATGCTGAGTAACAGTTTGGTAGTGTTTGCAGATATGGAAAACCCAGTTTGGGATCTAGAACATAATTTTACTGTTGTGGTTATAATCTGCTTAGGGAGGTAGGGTAGCATAGCAATTAACCTCCTAGCAGTGTTGGGCAATTAAAATATCTGTAAAACATCCAGTTCAGTATCTGGCACTAAGTACATGCTCAGGAAAGCATAGTTAAATAATCATTGTGGTCTTAATCATTATTATATGGTGACATGATAGTTGCATCCTCCTAAAGATTGAACTTCATTTCCATACCTCAGGAAGGATGGTTTTCCCACACACCAGAAATACAGAAGGAGCCCAGGTACTAACCACTGAACTCAGCTTGTATTCCAGGACTACCTTATGTGCTGGGGACACAGAAGGAACAGGAGAGTGGGAAGGCACATGATACATGAGTAAATGGTATAATCAGACAGAAGCTCCATGAGGCCACTAAAATAGGTTCCATGATACTGCCTGAAAGCAGACGGAGGTGGTATGCAAAACTCAATAGATTGATGAGGAAAGCCCGAGGAGGTGACATTTGGTGACATGATGCCTAGATTCTGTTCAAGAAACAGAACCAAGGCCAGTGTGGTGAAAAGTGCAAAGTGGAGCAGAGGTAGAAGATTGTAGGTGACGGGAAAGCAAGTTGGAAAAGCAGAGGGCTGCAGTGAGGATTCTGATTTTTTTCCTTAGTGCAATGGAGAGCCAGTAAATGGGTGGCAGGGTCTAATCTGTGTTGTAACGGCAGAGTTGGGCTGGAGCAGGAGCTGTGGGGAGATATGGGAGCCTGGGAAACTTTTAGAGAGGTCCAGATGAGATGATGGACGATCGTGGTTTGGAGGAGGGTGAGGGCAGTGGGTCAAATAGGGAATTGTCTAATGCAGATCCCATCATGATTCCTCGTAAAAGCAGCAAAGTCGTTTTTTAAAAAATTTTCAAAGTGAAATCGTATGTATTATAGAGCATCTGAATCTTACCAATTTTCCTCAAGTTGGTCCTCCATTCCCCTGCCAGCTCCCAGGATCCCCCAACTGTCACATTTAGTAAATCTTCTTTTAAGACTTTCAAAAACTAGCTGAATCTCAGCCTCTTCCTCTTCCTCCTTCTCCACTACCTTCTTTCTCTTACTTGCACATACTATTGTACATTTCTTGGCCATGCTGATTTTGTTCTCTATAACATTGCTGTAAGAATTTGAACACCCTCCAGTTCTTTGTTTCTGAAAGGATCATGGAAGGAATATTGCTTTAACTTAGTTCTGCTAAAAAAAAAAAAATGAGTAAAAGAATATTATTCAGAGTGTGGGACAGAGTCTTTTGTCAGACACAAAATTTTGTAACTGAAAGTACATTTTGTGAGTTGTGAAGACTGGGTGTGGGTAATTAACCTCCTGGAGAGCCTTTAATTGCCAAGATAACCTTATGCTCCTCTTAAACTCACATTCACCTCCTGGCTCTATTTTGTACTTTTCTTTTCCAATAAAACAAAATTGACTCTTCTTGAAAGGACCTACTTAGAAGCTGACTTGGCAGGTATGCTCTGACTAGGTAACCAGGAGGACATTAATGACTTTGTTTGTAGTTTGCTGTCCCCCTGATAGAAGGCACTTTAATTCCCTGCTGGCACTCTGTACATCGACTGAAGCTACTTAGCTTTGTGTGGGCCACAAGGTTTTGTGAATCAGTAAAGCATTCACCTTAAATCTGTGGCTATCACAGGAAGGCTGTCATTATTAGAATTCAAAGGACTTTCTAAAGCAACAAGAGCAGCAAAGAACTGTAGGCAAATTCACAAGTACAGCTTACACGTTTTTTTTTTTTTAAAGAGAGAGAATTTTAATATTTATTTTTTAGTTTTCAGCAGACACAACATCTTTGTTTGTATGTGGTGCTGAGGACCGAACCCCGGGCCGCACGCATGCCAGGCCAGCGCCCTACCGCTTGAGCCATATCCCCAGCCCCCAAGCTTACACTTCTTTAGTGAATTCTAAGTGTAAACTCTTCTTGTTTGGAACTATGTTATGTGAAAATATTACACTAATCTCTCCCTACCAAAAAAGTGCAAAAATACAGAGGTTTTAGCTCATATAATCCAAGTCCAGTTCATCTCTTGAAAGCCTGTTATAATTGTAGAGGAGATTGAAGGCTAATTACAGCATGTAGATACAGAAAGTTGATAAAATATTCATAAAATAAATAGTGAATTAACGTTTTAGATTGGTAGTTTTGACTTTATTCCTGATTGCTTCATTATCAGAGAAGGCAGCTGTGAAATAGGGAATGAATATCCTCTTTCTTATAATCACTTGTAGATTGTTTTCTCACCTAGGACTTTTTTAAGCTCCCTGTGGATAAACCTTAGTTTATCACGGTGGTGAACTCAGGGAATGCTTGGACACTAAATTCCAGCCTGCCTGAGATTATGTTTTGTTACTCTTCATTGAGTTTCGATGGGCCACTGAGTCTCTCTGAGCTCCCTTTCCCTCATCTGTAAAGTGAATAACAATTCCTGCATTAGGCTTGGGATAGAGAATAGATGAACCCAGAGCTGAAAAGATGCATCTGTTTGTGCAGTTCCATGAGCTGTGGGGACCGCGGTCAGCACAGACCGTCCGACTGGCCTCTGTGTTTAGAGTAGTTAGCTCAGCTCCTGGGAACAGGGGCCACTCAGTAAATATGTGAGTGAAAAGAATTATTTCCCCCTAAATGAGATCCTAGAGAGGGCAGGATTAGCATGTGGGAAACAACATGAGTTTAGAGACAGAAGGAACTCTCCACCTGCTTCCATCTTCATGAGTTTGCTAAGCTAGAGTAAATTCCTCTTTTTCCTTATCTGCAAAATGGGAATGATAAGACCTACCTAGCATATAAACTACATAAAGGGCTGGCACACATTCAAGCCACCAAATAATTTTTGGCCCTCTCCCTTTCCCCCACACCATCCTTTTTCCCTTGTCTTCAAAATATACATTGTCAGCTCCCTTTCTTTTTCTGTGACTCTGGTAGTTTGAATAGCATATAGCAATTTGATTATTCTTAAAAGATATATCCACTTAAATAGTCCTATAGTCCTGGCTTAATTATGTGTGAATCTTTATCTGGCTTGCTGAAAGAGTGTTATTTTGCTTCCCTTTTGATCTTGAAATGCTTCTCTGTTCAGGGC